ACTTCTGGTTGGAAGTTACAGCCTGGGTGGCCTGAAAGCCATAAGAACCATTTGTGTCATTTGTCACTCTACACTGTATTCTGTTACTGTACTGAGCTTGCTTTGCTTCTAGCATCTGGTTTGTCCCTCTTTGACATGTTATTTCTGTATATATCCATATCCTCCACACCCTGGAGTACTCACCACAGGCCCCAGTAATTCCTGGCCTAGTCTGTACCTTACACATGGGCACATAAAAAAAAGTTTGCTGAGTTTGTTTTGAAAACCTTCCCTTTAGACTTTAAGTTTCTATATTCAGCTTAACCTTTTCCCCAACCAACTTCCTAGATACACACACGGAAAGGAAGAGAAGTTACTCACAAATCGGTCCAACTAAGTGCCTGGCACCATGGGAGATATTTCACATCTAGTACATTATTTATATTAATCCACTTGGTAATCCTGTAAAGTAGGTGGTATTATCTTCTTTTTAATGATTAGGTCAAATAATTTGCCTGAGGACACAGAGGCAAACAGTGGCAGATCCAGGTTTCAAACACACACACATTTACCCCTCACAATTTTTTCCAAATAAACTAAAGAAGGGCAGAAGAGAGCAACAGTAAGAAAGAAACTTTCTGAGATGTCTATGTCTGTACCTTAACCTGAAAAAGGAGAGGTCATTGGTTTGGTGTCAGTCTCTCAGAGCTGGAAAAAAATCACTTGATCCCTCCTTTTACAAAAGAACAATCTAAGGTTTAAAGAAGCTCACAAGCTCTTTTAAAAATCATCTAATCTTTTTATTTTTCCTGAAACACTCCTTTTTGGTGAAATTTGGTAAATTAGTGAGGAAGAAAATCCCTTGTGTTAAGGATTATAAATTGTTCTGTCATAAAGACACATGCACATGTATGTTCATTGCAGCGCTGTTTACGATAGCAAAGACATGGAACCAACCCAAATGCCCATTGATGATAGACTGTACAAAAAAAAAAAAATGTGGCACATATACACCATGGAATACTATGCAGCCATAAAAAACAATGAGTTCGGCCGGGCGCGGTGGCTCAAGCTTGTAATCCCAGCACTTTGGGAGGCCGAAGCGGGTGGATCATGAGGTCGAGAGATCGAGACCATCCTGGTCAACATGGTGAAACCCCGTCTCTACTATAAATACAAAAAATTAGCTGGGCATGGTGGCACGTACCTGTAATCCCAGCTACTCAGGAGGCTGAGGCAGGAGAATTGCCTGAACCCAGGAGGCGGAGGTTGCGGTGAGCCGAGATTGTGCCATTGCACTCCAGCCTGGGTAGCAAGAGCGAAACTCCGTCTCAAAGAAAAAACAAAACAAAACAAAACAAACAAACAAACAAAAAACAATGAGTTCATGTCCTTTGTAGAGACATGTATGAACCTAGAAACCATCATTCTCAGAAAACTGACACAGGAACAGAAAACCAAACACCGCATGCTTTCACTCATAGGTGGGTGATGAACAATGAAAACACTTGGGCACAGGGAAGGGAACAACACTCACAGGGCTAGGTTGTGGGGAGAAGAGGAGGGAGGGGAGGGGGGACAACAGAGGGGCAGGGAGGATGGGGAGGGATAACACCGGGAGAAATGCCTGATGTAGGTGACAGTGGGTGGGGGGGATGGAGACAGCAAACCACCATGGCACGTAAGTACCTATGCAACAATCCTGCGGGATGCAGGATGTGCACAGGTACCCTAGAGCCCAAATACAACAAAAAGAAAAAGAAAATTCCTTGGGTTACAGGGAGAGTATCTAGAGGAATGTTAATCATTACTCTTAAGTATTTTTGATAGTCACTTCATTAAAATGTGATCTTTTTCTCTTGGCTGTTCCCCAGCAGCTGCTGCCCTGCCCTTCTGCTTTCTGCTTTGTCCCAGAACAAGTGGGATTTATACACCTGACCCACCAGTTCCCAAAGGGCCCAGTGGTTACCATACTTGTTTTATGCTGCACTGAATTGGCTGAGTTTTGTTCCTGGTTCTCATTGTCTGGTGGAACATGAGAAGCTTCAAAGATTTTTCAAATGAAAGCATAGGATGTTGATTTAAGCTTGGCATTAGAGTCTCATGAGCTCTCAGTGCTTGAGAATTTCTCACCATTTTGAAGCCTAAAAAGGACTCATTTGCATAAACCAAGCTCTTAGACCAAGTTTAAGGTGAGCATTTTGGAGAATACATTGGCACTGAGCTGGGATACCATGCCAAGCCCTTCCACTGAATAGCTGTGTTCTTGAGCAAGTCTCAACTTGTCTGAGGCTGCATAGCGTATTAAAATAATGACTGGCTTCAGGTATAACCTTAAGACAAAGAAAAAAATAAAAAAATATATATGACTGGTATGGGTTTGAGTCCCTGCTGGACCATCTTTCAATAGCTTTGTGATGGTTAGGCAACTCAATTCTCCTCCTTTTTTTTTTTTTTCCCCAGAAAAGGCCCTTTAAAGCATTACCATCCAGTCATCCTAGTGCCCGCCCCAATGGATTCACAGATTGTTTGAGGGTCACATTGCTAATTATTAAGTTGGGAGAGAGAAGCATATATAAAGCATATATAAAGGTAAAGTGAATGTATTTTATACCAGGATTGAAAAGGTCCTAAAGGTGAGAACCTCTGTAATGAGCCATTTGTTTCAATTCTCACCCTATGTTGCACAGTTACATTTATTAAAAGCAACACATTCCAGTAATAACCAAAAACACGGTTTTCTGTTTATTAAACACCTAATAAGGGCCCTTTATTGTTTGAGGCCGTTGTGAACATTTGCTACCTCCTTTTCTGGACTCTTTAACAATCAGTGGCCACCATTGATAAGTCTGCAAATATGAGAGGTAAACACTATAGAGGGAGAGGATGAACAGCCTGGTACAGTGAGATATTTTCCTAAAGAAGAACTTCCCAGGCTGACTGGACTTTGGATTGGTCCTCCATTGGGCTTCACAGAAATCTCCAAAACTTTGTACTATAGTATTACATTTATTTTACATTTCCTAGAATAAAGGTGGTAAGAGAATTAGATCAATGAATTTTAAGACTGTAAGAGAGCTAAAGAAGCCAAGAGTGTTCTCTTGAAGAGGGTCTGGGCTTAGGAGGCTGTGTGCTTTGGGTCAATTATCATTGCTCAGGTACTTTGTAACAGAAAAGCAGTGTTAATGCATAACAGGTAAAACTGAGGCCAGCTTTATACACATGAGACTACTCATAGGTAATCTGGGAACCAGAACACTTATTCCAGTGAAATCATCTGTGCTGACCTTTGGAGCTTATCTTTGGAAATTGCCTTTAGAGCTGGCAGTTGGATCAAAATTTTCAGTTGGTTCAGCACACAAAGGAATGTCTGTTTTACACCAGGCCCAGTGCTAGGCTCTGGAGATAAGAAGATAGTAAAGATAAAATTATTGCAACTTAGTTTTCTGAACGGTGGTGGGGAGGAGGGTGGAGAGAGACTGAAGGAGACAGAACATTTACAGTGTAATTAAATAACAAATTAAGTAAAACATAGACAAAATGAAACAAACACTGCCTGATTTTAGGGAACTTTAAAGAAAGGATAGAAATTTGATTAAGGGGCCAGGCCCAGTGGCTCATGCCTGTTATCCCAGCACTTTGGGAGGCTGAGGCAGGCTGAATCGGGAGTTCGAGACCAGCCTGACCAACATGGAGAAACCCTATCTCTACTAAACATACAAAATTAGCCAGGTGTGGTGGCACATGCCTGTAATCATAGCTACTCAGGAGGCTGAGGCAGGAAAATCACTTGAACCCAGGAGGTGGAGGTTATGGTGAGCTTAGGTCATGCCATTGCACTCCAGCCTGGACAACAAGAGCGAAACTCCATCCCCAAAAGAGAAAAGAAATTTGATTAAGGAAAATATAGAGAAAATAACTTGATATGTGAATGTCAGGATGCAAGTACATGAATATAAGTGGCAGGAATAGAAAATAGGTCAAAATGTAACTAGAGCATTCTTTTGTAAGGAATGATGAGCTAGAAGGGTCCTTTGGGACCACATTGTAAGGACCATTTGCTCTTTCAATAATTGTTTATTGAAAGATTGTAGCAGACCAGGGGCCAGACATGGTTTGCTAGTCCTTTGGAGGTAGCAATAGCCAACTTTAATTATGTGTGTGAAAAGTTTTTGTTCCTGCCCCAGGGCTTTCACACATGTCCCTCATCTCCAATGTTATCCTTCCTTCCCCTTTTTTGCCCAGTTAATTTGTATTCATTCTTTAGAGCTAAGCTTGAAAATTACTTCCTCAAGGAATACTTTTCCCACCCTTGTTTTCCTAGTTAAGAACTTGATATCTTCATACCATTTGCCCCAATTATAATTATATTATTGTTTAATATTTGCTTTGTGTTTAATCTCTCTTTTGTTTGCTCCTTTTTCTCCAACACAGTATTAGGATGCATAGTTGGCATGCAATGAATATTTGCTGAAAGAATGACTGAAGTGGGTCCATAGAATTTAGCAATAAGCTGTTACTGTTACTGTTGACCTTGGTGAGACAGTTTCAGAGAAATGGTGGGGGTGGAAGCCAGATTGCAGTACATTATGCAGAAAGTGGGAAGTGAGGAAATGAGGGCAGTGATGTGTAGGCAACTTTTTCTTTCTTTCTTTTTTTTTTTTTAATTGAGATGGAGTTTTGCTCTTGTTGCCCAGGCTGAAGTCTCAGCTCACCGAAACTGCCGCCTCCCGTGTTCAAGCAGTTCTCCTGCCTCAGCCTCCTGAGTAACTGGGATTATAGCCATGCACCACCATGCCTGACTAATTTTTGTATTTTTTGTAGAGGCGGGGTTTCACCATGTTGGCCAGGCTGGTCTTGAACTCCTGACCTCAAGTGATCCACCCACCTTGGCCTCCCAAGACAACTTTTTCATATGTGTGGCTGTGAAGGGAAGAAACAAAGGTTTTTCCCCTTCAGAGCCACAGATACGAAATGGGATCCAGAGGTTTTCTCTTTTTTTTTTTTTTTTTTATTAGATTTAATATATGGAACACTCCATGATTTGCATGTCATCCTTGCACATGGTCCATGCTAACTTTCCCTGTCTCATTTCAGTTTTTATATATATGCTACTGAAGCAAGAGTACCAGAGGTTTTTGTTTGTTTTTTTTTTTAATGACAGTGACTTGAACTTATTTAAATAATAATGAGGAACCAATGATGGAGAAGGGTGCCATAAACATAACTGAAAAAGTAAGATGGAATGGGATCCAGAACAAGGGTGTCATACTGAGTAGCCCAGCCTTTGTTCTGTGGACACTGGGGAGTCTAACCTGGAGCTGAGATAGCTTACAGCGTGTATGAGGCATACAGTAGATAGGGAAAAGAAGCCAAAGATCTGAAATGGGACTGAAGTGAAGGGCAAGGAAGGACTAGAGAGACATTTGGAAAGTGAAACCAGGTGGATATGAGAGAAAGGATTAAAAGGTCTTGATTTTGGGTCTTTCATGCTTAACCCAGAGCAGGTACTAAAGTAAGTGTTGATTGAATGTCTTTGAGTTTCTTGAGACTGGAGAAAGCCAGGCAAGCTCAGGAGGGTGTGGCAATAACAAGTTATCTTGAATATCCTCATAGTGGAAAGTCCCAATCTTGTTTAAATTGTGGAAATAGAAGCCATTCAGAGCCAAGACACTGAATTGTTGAGTAAGTGGGTGGTCAGGTTAGAGACTATTCCTTTTGGGTTAAAAAGTGAAAATAAGAAACAAAGTGCGGCTCTAAAATAATGAGATTTGTTGGGGGTGGGGCACAGCAACTCATAAACTGACACTGAAAGCACTGACATGTAAGACTTCCAAAAATATTTCTAAAACTTGGAAGATTCATTTGGATGTTTGTGTTCATTAAAATCTCTCATTAATTCATTGTCTTGCCCACTGTCCATAACCCAACCTGGGATTGATTTGAATGAGTCTCTCAGACTTTCTGCCTTGGAGTTTGTGGGAGTGATGGCATACTCTCTGAACACTGCTACCCAAAAACCAAAAAGGCCCCTCTTGACAAGGAGTCTGAGGATTTTAGACCCAGGAAGAATGATTGATGGGCACATATATGTCCTATTACTGAGGCATGAGAGAGAGGAATAGGTGGGTTGAGGTGGTGTTTTAAAGCCTTCTGCCAGCTTGTTTAACTCTCCTCTAGGGTATGAGGAGGACAACTATGTGCATTGGCCGCTCCAGAATAGTGTTGAGCAATCTTGAAATGCCGGGAGCTTTGCTTTGTCTATTCATGGCCCTGTGCCTGTGAAACAGGGTTCGGTGACTGTCACTGTGCCTGTGGCAGTCTGGAGTTACCCAGAGAGAACAAAGCTGCATACACAGAATGCACAAGGGAGTCTTGTAACAACTTTGTCCTGCTTTTTAGAGCTGAGTCAGGTACCACAGCTTGATCTCAGCTGTCCTCTTTATTTCAAGAACTTGGCATCTGAGCCATACCAGGAGTACTGTATTTTTTTGGGGCCCCTCTCTTTTGGAGGAACATGGACTGACTCTGTGCTTTTGTCTATTCTGGTCTCTCAGTTCGCACAACGCTTCACCCTCCTTTCTTAGCCACTGATAGGTAAATCTTCCCTGTCTTGCAAGGCTCAGCTCTAGTGTCAGCTTCATCTACAAAGGCTTTCCTGGTTCCCCTTGCTAGAGTGAACAAGAATTGACGTGGTAGAGTGAAAAGAGCAGAAGCTTTAGAATGAGCCCGACCTGAGTTTGAATGCTAGATCCATCACTTAGCCAGTCAACCCAGCCCCTCGCCCCAAGTTTTAATTTTCCTATCCATTAAGTGAATATAATAATACCTGTCTCACAGGATTGTTTTGAGAATTAAATGAGATTAGGTCCATGAAAGCATCTAGCAGAGTTCTCGGCATATAGGAGGCATTCATTGAATGTTTATTCTTTCCCTTTTATACCCATTACTTTTCTTTTTCTGAACTAAAATAGTGCTTTGGTTCTATCTCTGAAATAACATCAAAGTGAAAAATTAACAGTATAAAAGATCGGTTCTTTTACAGTAGATTTGCTTCTTAAGGAGCAGAGATTATGTAATCTAACAGCCTCTGACATGCAAAGAGCTTTGTATCTAGAACAGGAGTCTGCAGCCCCCGGACCACCCACTGGTACTGGTCTGTGGCCTGTTAGGAACCAGGCTGCACAGCAGGAGGTGAGTGGCAGGCCAGTGAGTATTGCTGCCTGAGCTCTGCCTCCTGTCAGATCAGTGGTGGCATTAGATGTTAATAGGAGTGTGAACCCTATTGTGAACTGCACATGCAAGGGCTCTTGGTTGCATGCTTCTTTTGAGAATCTCACTAATGCCTGATGATCTGAGGTGGAACAGTTTCAAACCAAAACCATCCCCCCTGCCCTCCAACCCTCGGCCTCGTGTCCATGGAAAAATTGTCTTCTATGAGACCAGTCCCTGGTGCCAAAAAGGTTGGGGACTCTTATTTAAAGGACCAATGATGTTGGTTGAATAAATAAGTGATGGAAAAATCTGAAAAAACAGGGCTTTTGAGGAATAGGAAAAGGCAATAACATGTTTAACCCAGAGGGGAGAAGTTTCTGGGTGCTGACTGAGAATAAGAAGGGCTGACACTGAAAAGGAGATTGTGTTCATTTCTTCTACTCAAAGATATAAGCAAAGGCTGAAAGTTCTAGAAAAAGGCAAGTTTTGTTTCTGTAGAAAAAAAGGATAATCAGCTGGGCATGGTGGCTCATGTGTGTAATCTCAGCACTTTGGGAGGCTGAGGCGGATGGATCACAAGGTCAGGAGTTCAAGACCAGCCTGGCCCAGATGGTGAAAACCCACCTCTACTAAAAATACAAAAAATTAGCCAGGCATGGTGGCACGCACCTGTAATCCCAGCTACTTGGGAGGCCCAGGTGGAAAATTGTAATCCTAGCTACTCAGAAGGCTGAGGTGGAAAATTGCTTAAACCCAGGGAGCGAAGGTTGCAGTAAGCCAAGATTGTGTCACTGCACTCCAGCCTGGACCACAGAGTGAGACGCTGTCTAAAAAGAAAAAAGGATAATCAGAACCATTTTTAGAAAATAGAATGAGACTACTTTTGAGGCCATGAGTTCTTTGTTGCTGGAGAGATGAGCAGAGGTTGAACAAATGCTTACCAGAGATCTTGTGGAGAAGGAAACTGTGCATCTAGCAGACCATTGGCCTACCCCTTTCAAATGAGATGCTATTAACTCAGTCTTGTTCTATATAGTAGGAACCTTGTCCCTTTGCCTCCTGCTACTTTGGCCCTCTCAACCTCTTGGTTTTGTGTGCAGGTGAAGATGTCTGGAGGTGTCCAGGCTGTGGGGACCGCATTGCTCCAAGCCAGATATGGTACAGGACTGTCAACGAAACCTGGCATGGCTCTTGTTTCCGGTAGGTGAGCCTATCCTCCTGTCTTTACCAGTGTACTGTGGGCCAAACACTATTTCACGTTGGGTGGAAAACACAGAAACAAGTTTCTGAGTTGAGAATATCAGTCTTAGGGTGGGGAAAGGAATGTATAAAGGAAAAGGTCATGACCAGACCTCAAGTGTGGCCTCCCTGAACCCAGGTTAAATTAGAAGAGCCACAGATGGGCCAAGTGCAGCTGGAGGCAGGGTGGGAGGATGAGAGGGGACCTTTCCAGGGTTGTCGCATGTCCCTTACTTTATGGGTGAGGAAACTGAGGCCCAGGAAGAATGACTTTCCTGTGGCTGCACTACAGATTATGCAGGTACTTCAAGAGTTGTTTTTATTTTTATTTTACTTTATCTTATTTTATTTTATTTTATTTTTTAAGAGGGAGTCTCACTGTTGCCCAGGCTGGAGTGCAGTGACACAATCTCAGCTCACTGCAACCTCCACCTCTAGGGTTCAAGTAATTCTACTGCCTCAGCCTCCTGAGTAGCTGAGATTACAGGCGCCTACCACCATGCCCACCTAATTCTGGAATTTAATAGAGACAGGGTTTCTTCATGTTGGTCAGGCTGGTCTTAAACTCCTAACCTCAAATGAGCCACCCACCTCAGCCTCCCAAAGTGCTGGGATTATAGGCGTGAACCACCACCCCAGTCAAGAGTTGTTTTTAGTGTGGTTGGCAGAGCCAGCAGTTCTTCCTCACCACAGGATGCCTCCCTAGGTTCCTACTTTTTGTTGTTAGCTTTATTATAGCTACATTATTGTTATTGTTATTACTTTTTTTTTTTTTTTTTGAGACAGAGTCTCCCTCTGTCACCCAGGCCACAGTCCAGTGGTGTGATCTTGGCTCACTACAACCTCTGCTTCCTGGGTTCAAGCAATTCTTCTGCCTCAGCCTCCCGAGTAGCTGGGGCTACAGATGCCTGTCACCATGCCCAGCTAATTTTTGTATTTTTAGTTTTTGCCATGTTGGTCAGGCTGGTCTCAAACTCCTGACCTCAAGTGATCTGCCTGCTTCGGCCTCCCAAAGTGCTGGGATTACAGGCGTGAGCCACCATACCCTGCCTATAGCTACATTATTTTTGTAGGCAGCTCAGTTTCTTAAAAATTATACAGACTTCAAATCAGATTTGTTCCTGCTGTCTGAGGTTGTTTCCTCATCTGGAAAATAGACAATAATAATCTTGTTGAGATTGAATGAAATAATATATGCAGTGTACCTAGTACATGGTAGACACCCAGTGAATGGTTATTCCTTCCTCCCATCAGATTTGAATCCTCAAGGGTGGGAACTTGTCTTTGTATTCTTCACAACATAAAATAGTTGAAATTTGTCAGTGGAAAGAGGAGTGGTCAACTCCAGAGGCTGGATGGGCATACCTGGCCCCCAAGGTCTGAAGTGGTGAGGCTGTGCTCATATCCTGAGAATGAGATAGACTAGACAGGCACCTTGTACTGTAGATTCCAGCTCCTGCACATAGCTCATGTTGTAAAGCATCCCCTGTGCTTATACCAAGTAATTGGGTTGACCTTTAAACACCTGCCTCTTCCCTGGGAACCATATAGAGGATTGGCCTGGAGACATCTGGCCTCTGGAAGAGTTAGAGAGGAACCAGCATTGTTATCCTTTCCTTTCAGCTATAACTCAGAGCTCTCGAGTCTTTTCCGCCTTGGTTCTTGCCCC